AATGTGAAAATTAATCTTGTGCTGATTGGTCAATACAAATATAGGCCAACTAGGCTCTCCTTTAAATAACGGTCGCTAGCTGGAAGGCGACGGTCGCTTAGTCGGAGTTCACTCCCTTGGCTGCAGTGCAAATCAATCAATCAGGTGCCGTCTCCACAATGAAAGTTGGCTGCAATGGATCTCCAACAAGCCCTGTCTCTTGCCCTTGATGTACACTCACTTATACTGCTGTTCGTCCATCTCTTGATGTTCTCCTCCCACTTGTAACGCTGTCTGCCTTTTGCACGCCTACCTTGAACCTTTCCCTCTAGGATGATCTTTACAATACTGTTATGTCTTTTAATGTGGCTAAAATATTTCACTTGTCTCTTTTCTATTTCACCTAGCAACTCTCTTTTCATTCCCAATTTCCTCAGTACCTCTGTATTTGATAGCTTTTGTTTCTATGAAATACGACCTAATCTTCTGTATATCCACATCTCAAAAGAATTGATACGATTTTCCAGTTGTTTGTGCAGTGCAAATATGGAGTGGTAAAGAGGGAACGAAACAAATGATATAGTTACCTGTCATCCTAGGGTTAGGCTTAGGGTTTGGGTTAGGATTTGGGGTAGGGTTAGGGGTAGGGTTTGGGGTAGGGGTAGGGGTAGGGTTAGGGTTTGTGTTAAGGGTAGGGTTAGGGATAGATTAACACATCACGGAAACGACGGAAGCTTATCGCTCATTACGACATACAGATCCGCAGGTCTCACATCTACGGTCACTCAGTCTTGCGTCGCAAGAACGCGGTCGCTAATGTGAGTCGCAGCGTGTGGTCTACGAGAGTCTTGCGTCGCAAGAACGCGGTTGCTAATGTCAGTCGCAGCGTGTGGTCTAGCTCTAGCAGGCATGTCGACCTCACTTTGTTTTTTGATTCGTCACTTGTCCGCTCCGTATTTGCACTGCAGCCAAGGGAGTGAACTCCGACTAAGCGGCCGTCGCCTTCCAGCTAGTGACCGTTATTTAAAGGAGAGCCAACTAAATGACCCTGTTCCACGCCTTTGGGCACAACTGTATAGTACTAGACCTGTATTTTATAACCAACTGCTACGCGATTTGGACAACATCACAGTTCTGATTTGATCCTTTAATCTCCCCCATACGGACTCTGCAGCGAGGAGTTTGTGTGAAAGAGGCCGGCCGTATGAACAGCTTTACCGTGATGTGTACACATGAGCCCGGGCGAGCAGTACAACAATGGGCAGAGACTGGAAAAGGACGTCAGGCTAATGAGAGAGAGAGAGAGAGAGAGAGAGAGAGGGGGGGGAGAGGGAGAGAGAGAGAGGGAGGGAGAGAGAGAGAGAGAGAGAGAGAGAGAGAGAGAGAGAAAGAGAGAGAGAACAAACTTAATTTTTAAAGGGTTAAGAATTGGGCACACAGGCCCGTCTTTCTTTCTGCTCTTCTGGCCTCACGCCATGCATACATATTTATGCACACTCGTTTTAGCAGATAATAATAATTATAGTATGAAAAGGCATCATCAACAACATCTGTGTAACAATGTAATCTAAGTATGCTTACATGTGAAAACAATTAAAATACTAAGTATAATAAATCTTGGTGGAAATCAACAGTATTCCTAGGAAACTATTATCTTCTAAGATGGCACGTAGTCTGTAGTAGGATGGGGGGGGGGAGAGAGAGAGAGAGAGAGAGAGAGAGAGAGAGAGAGAGAGAGAGAGAGAGAGAGAGGAGAGAGAGAGAGAGAGAGCAGAAATCGAGGTCCGAGCTGTGAGCGGGGTAAACCCTCATTATAACACCAAACTATTTCTGTAAAAACAAACTGGTGAATTAAACCTGTGCTGCAATTATTTTCTTGTTCTCTCTCTCTCTTTCTCTCCCCCCCCCCACCCCTCTCTCTCGCTCTGTTCTCTCTCTGCTCTCTCTCTCTCTCTGCTGTCTCTCTCTCTCTGCTTTGTCTGTCTGCTGTATCTCTCTCTGCTCTTTCTCTCTATCTGCTGTCTCTCTGCTCTCTTTGCTCTGTCTCTCTCTGCACTGTCCCTCTCTGCTCTGTCTCTCTGCTGTCTCTCTCTGCTCTGTCTCTCTCTGCTCTATCTCTCTGCTCTGTCTCTCTGCTGTCTCTCTCTCTTTGCTCTGTCTCTCTCTGCACTGTCTCTCTCTCTGCACTGTCTCTCTCTCTGCTGTCTCTATCTGCTCCGTCTCTCTCAGCTATGTCTCTCTCTGCTCTCTCTCTCTCTCTCTGTTATTTATGTGTTCTCTCTGCTCTCTGTTCTTTGTGTGCTCTCTCTCTCTCTGCTCTTTCCGTGCCCTCTCTTTGATCTTTCTTTCTGCTCTCTCTCTCTCTCTTACTCCCTCACACACTCTCTCTCTTTCTCTCTCATATAAAGCGAACAATGATGATTGCTCAATAAATGTTGCTGTTACCAGCAGATTCTTTTTCGTAGCTGCCTGAGTTTCCCGAATGGAAGAGTATACTAGTCCATCAAGTATTTTGGTGTGTGTATAGACGGACGGACCCACTGACCGACGGACCAATAGACAGACAAACAGACGGACGGACAGACAGACAGACCATCATACGACCGACCGACGGACCAACAGACAGACAGACGGACGGACTGACCGACAGACCGACCGTCATACGACCGACAGACCAACAGACAGACCGACAGACGACTGACCGACAGACCAACAGACAGACAGAAATTGCATAAGTCCTAATCCAAAGCTGACAACGCCCTGTCAACAAGATCCACCCACCCAGACCCACCCCACCCAAGGCGCTAAACGAGGCTCCATTGCTTCTCAGGTCCACGCAGAAGGGGGAAAAAATCGATCAAAATTAATTCCACGGAGACATTAAAAATTCTCCCTCTCGAGCTTCCCCTCTTGCAGCCGACCTCCCTTACTTACTGCTCGGCCAAGGAATGCAACAACACAAACGTGAATCAAACGAAGCTGATGCGAATTGTGGAAGACAGGGGGAAAAAATTTAATTTGACAGAAAGTTGTTCACAGAAAATGTGACATGATGTTAGAGGCCGGTATTTTCTGGGTATTTGATGTTTTGTTTTTGTCCGTCAGAGGAAAGGGGCGGTTTAAACCAGAGGGAATATAACGTAATGGATAGGAGCGTGTTTGATTGAGTGGCTGACTGGTTGGTTGCTTGAGTGAGTGATTGGTTGGGTTATTTAGTTGAATCCCCGCCCCCCTCCCGCAGGAGGGTACACAGAGGTTTTACGGTTTCGTCCAGCAATTCTGAAAGTGAATACATTTGTGCTTGCAATAATCCGTGACATCATATTTTATTTTATTCCGATTATAAATAAAATATTTGTAAAGGCCATTTATTAAACCAAACGACAAGGATATTTTTGTTGCAATGTGTAGTTTCTTCACATCGACCGTTGCAAATTTAATATGATAACACGCGCATGTAATTATAGATTTGGAACACATTCTGACCGAAGCATATCGCTATACTATCTGTTTGTCTTGTTGCAGAATCGACTGTCCTGTTTTTAAATCATATTTTGTTATGTTTGGGGTGTGGTGGTGGGTGTATCTTGTCATAAACTCAAGTGAGGTGTGAGATACTTGCTATATACTCAATGAGGGGCGTGAGATACTTGCCATATACCCCAAGTTGGAAGTAGGGAATCTTGCCATATACCCCAAGGCGAGCGTGAGATACTTGCCATATACTCAAAAGGAGGGGGGGGGGGAATACTTGCTATATACTCTGGAAAAGCGTGAGATACTTGCCATTTACTCCAGGGAGGCATGAGATACTTGCCATATACTCAAATGAGGCGTGAGATACTTGCCATATACTCAAGGAAGACGTGAAGTACTTGCCATATACTCAAAGGAGGCGTGAAATACTTCTCATATGCTCAAGGGAGGCGTGAGATACTTGCCATATACTCAAGGGAGACGTGAGATACTTGCCATATACTAAAAGAGGCGTGAGATACTTCTCATATACTCAAGTGAGGCGTGAGATACTTGCCATATACATGAGGGAGGCGTGAGATACTTGCCATATACTCAAGGGAGACGTGAAATACTTGCCATATACTCAAGGAAGACGTGAGATACTTGCCATATACTCAAGGGAGACGTGGGATACTTGCCATATACTCAAGGGAGACGTGGGATACTTGCCATATACTCAAGGGAGGCGTGAGATACTTGCCATATACTCAAGGGAGGCGTGAGATACTTGCCATATACTCAAGGGAGACGTGAGATACTTCTCATATGCTCAAGGGAGACGTGAGATACTTGCCCTATACTCAAGGGAGACGTGAGATACTTGCCATATACTCAAGTGAGGCGTGAGATACTTGCCATATACTCAAGGAAGACGTGAGATACTTCTCATATGCTCAAGGGAGACGTGAGATACTTGCTATATACTCAAGGGAGACGTAAGATACTTGCCATATACTCAAGGGAGGCGTGAGATACTTGCCATATACTCAAGGGAGGCGTAAGATACTTGCCATATACTAAAGGAAGGCGTGAGATACTTCTCATATACTCAAGTGAGGCGTGAGGTACTTCCCATTATACTCAAGGAAGGCGTGAGATACTTCTCATATGCTCAAGGGAGGCGTGAGATACTTCCCATATGCTCAAGGGAGGCGTGAGATACTTGTCATATACTAAAGGGAAGCGTGAGATACTTCTCATATGCTCAAGGGAGGCGTGAGATACTTCTCATATGCTCAAGAGAGGCGTGAGATACTTGCCATATACTCAAGGAGGCGTGGAGGTCTTGCCATATACTTAAGGGGGCGTGACCTGAAAAAATATGGGGATCACTGCTCTGGATACACAGTTCGTCTGATCACTAGAAGTTTACGACAGTCACCTGATCTGCCAAGGTAACTTCCTTTCTGGCACCGACCATGACTCAGAACCACAAGCTGCCTTATGTACCAAGCCTCTTATCAACGCACACAAGCAGACAGTGAGAAAGAAAAAAAACTTACACACATGGAGGCCAGGCACTCCTGCTCGTAGGTTATAAGGTCCACATACTTCTTGAAGCTGACAGACCTCAAGTTGCGCTGATGCTGCCGTCCCGTGTAGCGGAAATGCAGCCACGACAGCATCGTCAAGGCAATCCTCTGGGACTTCCCACGAGTGCTTCTCTTGTAGAGCATTCTAGAACTCGCCGCTTCATCTCATTGTCTTAGCGATTACACTAGCTAGCACATGTCACTGGGCGCTTACATGATGGTACATTCGACGACTGAAGAGACACGGAACACAACTAGACGGCTCAGCCAATGGGAAGACTCGCGGACAGTAGGCGAACGTGCCCATTAAAGTCTTTATTAATAAACAGAATAATATTTAATGACAGAAATGCACACGGAGAACAATGTCTTTCTCAGCGGACAAAATAAACACCGCATAAGTCACACAGATACAGTGAAATCATGTCCACCAATGTCTTTATCCATAGACAGCCTGGACAGCGCAATTCTTAACTAAAGAAATACATTTGAATAATAAGCGAAAATTGCATACAAACACCTTTAATGATTGTTGGGGTTCACATAGAAAGATAAATAAAGTAAGTAAATGACCCTTTTTCACGCCTTTAGACAAGTAGGGCATGTAGGGCTAGACCTATTTTTATAGATTAATCAGCACAAGATGGGTGATGTGGTCAGCATCACGCCTGCCGCCTTTACTTCCCGGGACTACACCTTGTACCCACTTAAGGTTGGGTCGGCCTGGGAGCCAAGGTCAGTTTTGAAAAAAAGTCCAGCTCCGCCAGAGAGTCAACCAACGACCTCCCGATCCGCGGCGAGCGTCTAGCCGCTCCGCCACGGCGACTCCCATATGGGAAGATGAAATCAGCAATCCTAGATTACAACAAATGACAGACTTAGAGGGTGTAAATTTAGAAATGTAAAAAAAACGAAGATGGAGGTGGACTTAACACGTCCTCAGAATGAAGAAAGAGAGACGGCCGAGACAGGCAAAGCAACGTACATCACAAGGACAGGCGAGGAGGAGACAGGTCTAGCGGCACTTGGAGGCGAATCTTTGAGGCTGAACTCAAGGCTACGGGAAGGATAAAACTGAATATGGAGAAGATGGCTCAAAATCAAACTGAATGGTGACAGTTTCTTATGTACCTATGGGCGCGATGATGAATGATTGATTGACTGATTGACTGCTTACGGAAAAAAATAAAAACCACAGACGTAAATGGGATGGAGGCGAACTTTCGACCAACTCTTAGATTATTTAAGTTATCCTTTACACTTTACAGAATGTTGCAGAACCAACTACAGCATTTTTTGGCTGTTGTGGGTTTTCTAGGCAACTTTTACGTTCAGTAGTTTGAAAATGCCACTGAACGGTCAGCTCTCGGTATCACTATCGAAACCAAGGCAAGACCTATCGTCCGCAGCCGGGATCGAACCCAGCACCCAAGCATTACGAAGCGCGCTCTCAACTCCTTAGCCACAGACGCCGACTTAGTTGATGGGAGCACTTAGAGACACGATACACCCACAAGATAGCTGTCCGCATGTCCGCCTTATCATAAAGTACATTCCCACCCAGAGAAGTAAGAGCTGCCAATCTAATAGGAAATTTAAATGAGACCTGAATATGAAAGCCTAGATTCTTGGCAACAATGGAGAATTTGCAGTAACAAATGACCGCAGTCAACAATGTAACAGGGTAGAAAATAGAAGCCGAGAAGGTGGGTGTGGGAAAAAGAGAGAGGTAACAGGCAGATATGGGCGAAATATTTGTCCTGATTCCGGGTGTGGAAATGGCGAGGGAGGGGGGGGGGGGGGCGGGGTTGTGGAGAAATATGTGAAAGAAGACGAATAATTGTTAGTAATGGAGCTAGGTAATTCCAAAACACAGACATAAAATAGGGGCTGGGGGGGGGGGGGGGTGTCGAGAAATAGGTGAAAGAAAGGACGAATAATTGTCAGTAATGAAGCTGGGTAATTCCACAACACAGACTGGAGGTAGGGGCTGGGGGAGGGGTGGAGAAATATGTGAAAGAATGGACAAATAATTGTCAGTAATGAAGCTGGATAATTCCACAACACAGACTGGAAGTAGGAGCTGGGGGAGGGGGTGGAGAAATATGTGAAAGAATGGACAAATAATTGTCAGTAATGAAGCTGGATAATTCCACAACACAGACTGGAAGTAGGAGCTGGGGGAGGGGTGGAGAAATATGTGAAAGAATGGACAAATAATTGTCAGTAATGAAGCTGGATAATTCCACAACACAGACTGGAAGTAGGAGCTGGGGGAGGGGTGGAGAAATATGTGAAAGAATGGACAAATAATTGTCAGTAATGAAGCTGGATAATTCCACAACACAGACTGGAAGTAGGAGCTGGGGGAGGGGTGGAGAAATATGTGAAAGAATGGACAAATAATTGTCAGTAATGAAGCTGGATAATTCCACAACACAGACTGGAAGTAGGGGCTGGGGGGGGGGGGGGGCAGGCAGTTTGTGGGTATGCCAGAAGATGTAGCACGCAGTACTGCACTATTTTGTTGTAACAATCTGAAATAAAAACAACAGGGAGGGGGTTGGTTTTATTTTAAAAGGGTCATAAGTTGGCAAAACAGACAGGTATGTCAAGACTGGTGAGAGAGAGAGAGAGAGAGAGAGAGACGGTCTGGTCTGGGACGGCGAGACAAAGGTGTGAGATAAACTTCTAGTAGAGAGACGGACTAGTATGAGACAGCGAGATAGACTCATCTGAGACGGGCAGACAGACTGCACTGAGACGGTCAGACAGCCTAGTCTGAGACAGAAAGACAGGCTAGTCTCAGACCGGGAGACATGGAGCAGGTGAGAGAGATATATACGAGGAGGAGACTTAACAAAACCGAGCATTAGGACTAAGTGAAAAACATACTGCTTCTCCCGCTGTCTCACTGATACAGGCTATGTGAGGCTAATACTACAATATGGGATAGCTGCTTGGGGCACACCAGCTAAATCAAATTTTCCGAAAATTTCAAAACTCCAAAACCATGCTCTCCGTATTATGACAGGGGCCATGAGCTCCACGCCCATATCAGACACGGAAACAATGACTGGTCTCCATTCTCTAGAAGACATGACAGACACAAAGCTCCTCTCCTAGCTCTCCAAACACCACTATCTGAAAGAACAACCCATGCACAGTCGACTGCAGAAACCCAGAGGGCTAGATTAAAGAGAACCTGTTTTATTAAGAACGCGAATGCCAAGCACGCTGTCCTTAAACTCCCTCCCACAATACCAAATGTTCCACTGAGACCTTACAACGACTGCCCCCCTCAGCTTAGTAATAGCTTGCCAACAGTCAGAACCAATGGTACAGGGATTTTCTCCAGATCATCAATGAGATCAAAAGACTTTATCCACACCAGAGCTGGATTCCATTGTATACAGATGGTTCAGCCAAGAGAGCAGTAAGAGATGGAGGAGGCTGAATATTCATACAGTGTAAAAATGGTTTTAAAATCAACCAGGCTGTACCGACAGGTTCATATTCCTCCAATTACAGAGCAGAGGCAGAAGCACTTCTGGTGGCATGTTCTTTCCTGAATAGACAACAGCACAGCAAATATAGCAGAGTGGTCTTTCTGACTGATGCTATGTCCGTTGCTTGTAAACAAGCAATTGTTAACCCAAAAGACACTCAGTTTGTAGACGCAACAGCTAATTCTCCTAGGTTCTTTAGTAGAACAATTTGTACTGTCGTGGATTCCAGGTCACTGTGGCTTATAAAGCAATGAAATAGCGGACAGGTTGGTTAAAAGCGGCAGTGACATGGTACAACCAAATTGTTACTTAACTCACCAAGAGACAAAGATAATAATACAATCTAGTATCCAAGAAAAGTGGCTGGATAAACAAACCAAATTATCTTCTCAAGATTCGCTTCATCGCCTTTCTATAAATGTACAGTGTATCACATTCATACTAAGGACAGGGCGCAACAGACTTTGTCAACATATGTTCAAACTTTCTGTGTAGGAAACTGGGAGACGTGTCCCTGCAGCGCGGCACCCAGTTATGCTGAGCATGTGCTCCAACACTGTCACCTGTCTGCTGACAACAGAGACGTGTCCCTGCAGCGTGGCAAGCGAAAATGCTGAGCATGTGCTCCAACACTGTCATCTGTCTGCTGACAACAGAGACGTGTCCCTGCAGCGTGGCAAGCGAAAATGCTGAGCATGTGCTCCAACACTGTCATCTGTCTGCTGACAACAGAGACGTGTCCCTGCAGCGTGGCACCCGAAAATGCTGAGCATGTGCTCCAACACTGTCAACTGTATGCTGACAACTGACACGCAATCTGGCCTGTTCCAACCACAATGAAAACAAAACTGTATGGTACACGAGAAGTTATAGACTGCACGATAGTTTTCATAAAGGCTACCGGCCTCCTGATAACAGTTTTTTGACAGAAAGATCGAAGTAGAAAACTCATACCAGGTGGTAGTCCAGTGTTGTGAGATGCACTGCTCCCCGTCAAAGGCGAGACAGCAAAAACACACATAAGAACTTGTGTGGGTTCCGGGATCCCACTGCCTCCCTAACAAGCATGTCGTAAGAGTGACTAATTAAGGGTTTTCTTCGAAGTGTATCTGCTTGAGAAACAGGAAGCCAACACAAGTAAACCAGATTTATAAACGTATGTGCATGCAACATACAAGTTCTAGAACAAGCAGAACTTTCCTCTGCAAAAGTAGGTAGGTAGATAATTGCACCCCACCAGGACATCACACAAGCAATAAACACCCGGTGACACTAAGTGCCACCAAGCGGATGAGGATCACCCATGGAGAGGTCCCGGAAGCCCCGTTCAGTCGTTTGGCCATATTTATGACCCGGCTATATTTAGGGTCAACGGCAAAAGCCAGGCTGGGGCTTCAAAATAGCTAATAATTGCATCCCACAAACGGATGACGAGGTGAATGCAAAGATCTATCTATCTCTATCTCTTTTTTTTTTACCCCACCAGGACATCACACAAGCGATAAACACCAGATGACACAAAGTGCCACTATGTGGATGAGGATCACCAGTGGAGAGGTCCCAGAAACCGCGTTAAGCCATTAGACCACATTTAGGGCCGGGCTATATTGCGGCCCCTGGCAAGAGCCAGAGTAGGGCTTCA